GTGTGCGTGAGGGCAGTGTGAGGGCAGTGTGTGTGTGAGGGCAGTGTGTGTGTGAAGGCAGTGTGTGTGTGAGGGCAGTGTGTGTGTGTGAAGGCAGTATGCGTGAGGGCAGTGTGTGTGTGTGTGTGAGGGCAGTGTGTGTGTGTGTGTGTGTGTGTGTGTGTGTGAGGGCAGTGCGTGTGTGAGGGCAGTGCGTGTGTGTGTGTGTGAGGGCAGTGTGTGTGAGGGCAGTGTGTGTGTGTGTGAAGGCAGTGTGTGTGAAGGCAGTGTGTGTGTGGGTGTGAGGGCAGTGTGCATATCAGGCTCTAAGGAACGAGGACACTGGTTTTTGGGCTGCATCCCTGTGGCTGGGGGAGGCTCTCAAGGAAGGAGATGGGCCCTGCCCCATGGCTGCCAGCCAGCCGGCCCAGCCTCTCCCATTGCAGCCGATGGTACTTCCACTGCTCTTAGTCCTTGCCACTAAGGTGGGGGAGGGGATGTGGGGCAAGGCCCACGGGTCCCAAAGGGGTGGCGGGAGCCTGAGACCCACATGCACAGCGTGGCCAGCGAGCAGCCCCATTGCACAGGGCCCCACACCACCCGCCGATGTCCTCTTGCCCCAGCTGTGCTCATGTCCTCTCCCGGTGCCATGGTGCCCCCACGGCAGAGCCCACCATGGCCCTGTCCCCCAGCCCACGGCACTCCCAGCAGCTGCTGTCTGCCTGCCCCGCGCCCTGGGCCTCCTTCCTGGCACGGTTCTCCTGGCGCTGGGCCGATGCTCACGGCTGCGCCGGCAGCGTCGCTCTCCCAGGGCCCCGGGCGTTTGGTTTGCAATGTCAGCACCTCCCCTGGCTCCCCTCCCACATCAATGGGCCGTGCCACAGGGAGGTCTGGGCCCCTCTCCCCTCCCTCCGCCCTGCGGGGCACTAGGACTCCGCGGGCACGCTGTAGTGGGGGGGCGATTCCCCCAGCAGAGCATCCGCAAATCACCTACCTGCCAGCCCCGGCCCTCGGGAGCCTGGGTTGCCCTGGCAACCGGGGAGGAAATCAATAGATTGATTTCTATTGCAGAGCACAGGGAGATGGGCAGCGCTTTGGGGTGGGGGCCACCAGCTGGCACAGCAGGAACGCGGGGAGTGCACGCATGATGTGGGGGCAAGTGGGACCGCTGAGAAGCCTCGCTGATAGCACGTGGCTGGCAGGGGGTGCGGAGTTGCCCGGGTGACCCCGGGTCCAATAACAGAGGGTGCAATGGGGCACTGAGGATTGGGATGTACTGGGGTTTTGTGTCCTCAACTTGAACTGCAAACCATGGATTGAGGGGCTTGAATGTGTGTGTTGGGGGGGGGGTCTGTGCACGTAACTGTGTTTGGATGTTTGTATTGCATGTGACAGAGAGGGCTGTGGGGGTGGGAGAGGGAGGGGTGTGTGTCTGTGTCTGTGTGTGTGTGCGTGCCGGTGTTTGGGTGAGTGTGTTGCATGTGACAGGACTGTGGGGAGGTGTATGGGAGAGGGAGGGGTGTGTGTGTGTGTGTGTGTGTGTGTGTGTGTGTGAGCACTCATGCCTGTGTTTGGGTGTTTGTATTGCATGTGACAGGGGGCTGTGGGTGGGAGAGGGAGGGGGGATGCGTGCCGGTGTTTGGGTGAGTGTGTTGCATGTGACAGGGGGCTGCGTGTGGAGGAGGGAGATGCGTGTGCACTTGCATGTGGAGCATGGTGCGTGTGACAGCCAGCACGGGGTGCAGGCCGGGGACTGACCCATGCTCACACTCCCTGACCCAGCCAGGGCTCTCTGAACTGTTCATGGGACAGACGATGTGCAACGCACAATTTCCACGCCAGCTTAGGCACGATGTGCTCCCGGAGAGACAATCCCGCTGCAGGGGTTGCATCTGCAAAGCTGGCTCCCCACACTGGCTCGAGC